AATTTTTTTTAGTCTTTTTGAGATAGGGTCTCCCAGTGCCTCAGCTGACCTGGAGCTTATTTTGTAGACAAGGCTGGCCTTGAACTCACAGAGATCCACCTGTCTCTGCCTCCCCAGTGCTGGGAGTTATTTAAAATATTTTATTTATTATTTTTATTTTATGTGTATGAGTATATTACCTGCATGTGCATAAGTGCACCTGTGTTCTGTGGTGCCCACAAAGGTCAGAAGAAGATGTCAGACCCCCTGGAACTGGACTTATGGATGTTGTTAGCCACCATGTAGGTGCTGAGATTCAAACCCTGGTCCTCTGCAAGAGCAGTCAGTGCTCTTAACTGCTGAGCCATCTCTCCAGCTCCCTTAATTGCTTTTAATTATGTATCTCTCTCTCTCTCTCTCTCTCTCTCTCTCTCTCTCTCTCTCTCGTGTGTGTGTGTGTGTGTGTGTGTGTGTGTGTGTGTGTGTGTGTGTATGCATGCATATACCTCGGAGGCCAGAAGAGGGTATCAGATCTCCTGAATTAGTATGAGCCACACAGGTGCTGGGAAATCAGGTTTTCTGGAAAAGCCATAGCACTCTTCACCACTGAGCCATCTCTCCATCCCCATTTGCCTTTAGCTCTTAATTTAGTGCTAGGATGCATAAAAGAAACTTCCCTCACCCTGGCCCCCCAGCATTTGAGAAATAGTCACCATTTCTTTGATCTTCAGTGAGTATGTGCTGAGTGTTAATATGTCAGTCACTTTGCTCGTTTAATGATAGGCGTCACACTATGACTACAGGTACTGTCTGTCACCATTGAGACAAAAACAGCCACACCTGGGTAATAGGAGCTCAAAGGCGCAGATGGCCCACAATCTGCCTGCCACAGCACTGTGCATACTTAGTTTGTAATACTTTCTGAGTTCATCTCTTACATATTCACTGGGCACTAGAAATGGATTTATGGTCACGTGCCCCAACAGACTTTCCAGAAAGCAAGATAGATAGGCAGTGCACATGACCCTGGGTATGTGATCTCAGGCAGCTGCGAATGGTGAGTGGGAAATCGGAGGATGTGAGGGCAGCATGAGGAGAAGGGCTGGCTCTGATCACCTGTTGACGCCACTGATGGAGAGAGCCCAGCCTGAAAACTGCACAGTGGCTGGTGCTTGACGCTGGAGAGCTGAGGCTGCTGATGACACACTCTAAGCCAGGGCATGAGGATGCCGGTCAGGGCCACATGGGCCTTGTGCTTGGCTCTGCACAGGGCCTTGGGGAGCAGGCATTGTGGTGAGAACAGGGTGGGGTGACTGGTTCCTGCTGGAGGGTGTGATAAGCTTGCTTAGATCATTTCATGGGATGTCAGGATGGTGAACCTCATTGGTTTGAAGGCTGGGTGGAATGTAGCTGGTCTGATGGTTAAGGAACTAGTTGGGTGGGTAGGAAGCCTTTTCTGCCAGGCAGGTGGGTGTATCTAGTGAGAGGAGGGAATTCAGAGTGGCTGTTGCCAGACAAACCCCTCTGAGCAGGTGGTACTTGGAACAGACTTCCCTAAGTGGCCCGGAAAGACTGGGGTTACATGGGGGTCAAAGCTCTCAGACTGAGAGTCTGAAAGTAAAGGGCTTGTGGTAGAAATGGCCAAGGAGGTGGGAATTGACTGTATTCCCTCTGAGGAAACTGAGGCACAGAGAGTAGCACTAGCTTGAACCCAAAGTCAGAGTTGGGAGGCAGGACTTCAATGAGTAGGGTGTTTCTGTTAACCTCAAGTTATATTTCCAAACTATGCAGGTGTGCATTTGTAAATTGGGTATTTTCCCCAGATGGGGCAGGGTGGGGGTTCTTTTTATTAATTAAATTTTTTTATTTATATTTTATGTGTATGAGTGTTTTGCCTGTATGTATGTAAGTGTGCCTGTGTTGTGCAATGTCCATGGAGGCCAGAAGAGAACATTGGATCCCCTGGAATTGGAGTTATAGACAGTTGTTAGCTGCCATGTGGGTGCTGGGAACTGAACCTGGGTCCTCTGGAAGAGCAGCCAGTGCTCTTAACCAGTCTCTCCAGCCACTAGGGGTGCTTTTTAGGGGAATCATGGGTGCTCAATGAACAGATCTGGGAGGAGATGGGCTCTGGGTAGGGTGGATGTAGGGCAGATCCAAAGGAAACTTATCATAGCAGTGTAAGGGGTGCAAGTCTTTAAAAAGTGTTTTTTTTTAACATCCTTATTTGTGTGAGTGGTGCAAATGTGCACATATATCATAGTGTGTGTGTGGAGACTTGTTGGAATTGATTCTCTCCTTCCACCATGTGGGTCCCTGGGATTGAATTCAGGTCGTCAGGCTTGGCAGCAAGTGCCCTTACCCTCTGAGCCATCTCACTGGCTCATCCAGGGACACAATTTTATTCCATGCTGGAGTCTGCGTTTTAGAAACACTTTGCTGCAGAATGGGGACAGCTGGAGAGGTGATCCATAACACTGGGGTTAGAAGTAACACAGAATAAACTGGATGTGTTGGTGCATGTCTCTATTCCTAGCACTCAGGAGGCAGGAGCTGGAGGATCACAAGTTCAAGGCCATCCTTGGATACATAGCTATTTCATGACCAACAACCTAGGATACAGGAGACCCTGACTCAACCTAGAATCATCCGGTATCATAATGAGACTCCAAGGCTGCTTAGGGAAGTTTCTTTAGTCCTCCAAAATAACAAAGCTGCTTTTCCAGAGAGGAGTGGAAGGACCTGTGTGGGTGGGAGGCAGAAATGTAAAGAGAGAGCAGGTGGTGGGTACCAGCATCATCAACAATAATCCATTGTGGCCTATGCCAGACTCCATGTCAGCTGCCATAGGGTGTGCACAGGAAGAAAAAGGAAGCTACAGGCCTTGTGGTTAAAGAAGTGATAAGCATTCTTTCCTAACAATACAGTGAGAACCCCCACCCCCACCCCACCTTGTTACCTGGAAGCAGTTTCTTAACTTTGTTGGGTTTGGCTTCCTAATCTCTAAAATGGGGTTGTCTTGAGGTCTACCTTGTGGCATTGTCAGGAGGACTGAGGATGAACTATGTGAGCAGTCCCTCAGCTGGTGCTAAGTCCCATTGAGTGCACCCACTGGGAGGTGGGGGTTGAAGTGGTGAGGTGGAGAATTGAAAGAATTGGCAAGACTTGGATAAATGGAGAGGTGACTTGCATAGACTTGGCCCATTTCCATGAAGGGTGGGTTGTAAAGGTGCCAATGGAGCATTAAGTCGGCCTTATAAAGAAGCCTTGATGGCAAGACTGAGGTGTTTAGATTTCCCTCTTTAGACAGTAGGAAGTCTTTGAAAAGTAATGTCTCTAGTTTGTTTTATTCCAGACATGACAAGGCAGACTGGGGGTGGGTGAGATCGATGTGAGGGACGAGGCTGAAGGGGACAGTGAGGTCTGGCTAAGATAGCAGCCCAGGGCATAGGAGCTGGGATTCAGGAGGGAGAAATATTGAGCTGTTATGGTGGTCTGGCTGCTGAGTCAGAAGAAGAGGCTAATCTGGTGGCAACAGAAAACTGAAGACTCGGAAGGAGCAAGGGGCAGGGGACCTGGGCTGGGGCAAGTGGGTGATTCAGCTTCAGGCTCCTGGATTTTCTAGAGCTACTGGGTCATGGAAACCTAAACAGGCAGTTGGAAAAGAATGAGATAGGGAAGGTTGGTGCTATGTAAAAGATAGGGATGAATTAGCAAAGTGGCTGAGCTCCTGAAGAGCAGGTAGAGGGGGAAGTGAGGCAAGCATAGAGCCGAAGTGTGTGTATGTGTACGAGCACACATGTGTGCATGTGTGTGCATTTGCAAGAGTCAAGTCTAGAGCGAAGGAGTGTTTGTGTGTGTGTGTACACAGGTGTGTGTTTTGTATGCACATATGTGTGTTTGAGTGTGTGCATGACTGTATGAGTGTGTGTGCATTTACAAGAGCGAGAGGGTGTGTGATGGTTTGAATGAAAATGTTCCCCATAGGCTCCAAGTATTTAGACATTTTGTCCCCAGATGATGGCACTGTTTTGGGAGGTTTTAGAAGGTGTGGCTACCCTGGAGGAAGCACGTCACTGGGGTGGGCTTAGAGAGTTCTTAAGCCTTGCCAGATCTCCAGTTTCTCTCTTGCTTCCTGTGCCTGTGTGATGATGTGAGAGCTTAGCTTCTGCTGCTCCTGCTCCAGCCACCTCCAGCCACCATGCATTCCTGCCATGATGGGCTATAATTCCCCTGGAACTGTAGGCTCAAATAAATTCTTCCTTCTATAAATTGCTTTGGTTAGTGTTTTTATCATAGCAACAGAAAAGTGACTAATACAGGGTGGGACTGGCCAGAGAACCAGAAGGGGCTGTGCCTTGTGGCTTGTTCTCCCATAAGAAGAATTAGTATTGAGATACATTCACTTTTCACAGGTCATGGTTCTCTGAGAGGCAAAGGGCTGTTCCAAGTTCAAGTTGAGGTCTCCCAGCACTCATCCTTATGCATGCGTCACATGTCCTTTCTGCAGGAACTCAGTGGCTCCTCTATGGTCCCCATCATGACAGAAGTGGAAGCTAAAACAGACCCCCCTACCTTCAACAGGACCAATAAATTCACAGCTGGCTTCCAGAACATCGTTGATGCGTATGGGGTAGGCAGTTACCGAGAGATAAACCCAGGTAAGGATCTGATGCATCATTGCACAATGGGGGAGCTTGAAATGGAAAATTAGGGAGATGTGCCTCTCAGGAGACCCAGGAGGTGAATCCAATTAAGCTGTGACATTCTTATAACCTTACTTGGTTTCCTGATGCCTTGTATTGCCTTCCATAAGTGTGACTCATGAAAGATTTGTTCTTTGTTTTGTTTTCACCTCTCCTTTAATTATGTATGTATGTATGTATGTATGTATGTATGATGTATATATGTATGATGTATGTATGCATTTAGAGTCAGGGTCCTAGGCTGGCCTTGAATTCATGATCCTCCTGCTTCTGGCTCCTGAGAGCTAGGCTCGCATGTGTGCCAGCACACCTGGCTTCACTTCTCCTTTAAGTGGCAGCCTCAGTCAGCAGCCAATTCTAGTTTTTTTTTTTTTTGGTCTTTTTGCAACAGGATCTTCCTGTAGCCCCAGCTGTCCTGGAATGCACTATGTAGACCAGGCTGGCCTTGAACTCACAGAGATCCACCTGCCTCTACCTCCCGAGTGCTGGGATTAAAGGCGTGTGCTACCACGCCTTTACTTCTAGTTTTCATTTCCTTCAAGTCAGCCAGGATCCTCTGTCATCTTCACCATCCTGAGGTTATTGTGTGATCAAGAGAAGAGCTCACAGGACTTGGGGTCAGGAGATTAGATCCTTAGTACCCTGTGCTGTGGGACCTTGGTAGCCTAGTTAGTAAAATAGAGGGGTAGGCCAGTTGCTTTCTAGCCACACAGGGCACAGCCTGAGCCTTAACTTGTGACCCATATTACAGAGGCCTCATGGGTCACTGTGCCTGCAGTAACTACTGGTACTGTGTCGGTGCTGGAGACACAGACAGAAGATGATAGTGGACAGAATTTGGAGATAGACAGGCTTTCAATCCTTAGGCTAGGCATGGTGGTGCACACTTTTAAGCTCAGCTCTTGGGAGCAGAGGCAGGTGTATTTCTGTGAGTTCAAGGCTAGTCTGCTCTCCATAGCAAGTTCTAGGCCAGCTAGAACTGCATAGTGAGACCCTGTCTCAATGCCCCCACCCCCCAAAAAGAGGACACCACAAAGTTGTAGGGGTATAGGGAGGTGAGAGGGAATCTGGAAGAAGTTAAGGGGAGGAGTTAGGGATGAATATGATCAAAATACATTGTATGGAATTTTTTTATATGTATGAGTGTTTTGCCTGCATGTATGTAAGTGCATCACATGAATGCTTGGTGCCCTTGGAACTGGAGTTATGGATCGTTGCTAGCTGTCATGTGGGTGTTGAGAACTAAACCCAGGTCTTCTGGAAGAACAGTAGGTGCTCTTAACCTCTGAGCCATATCTTTAGCCCTTTGTATGATTTTTTTTTAAAGAAACTTAGGTAAGAAAAGGTTTATTTTGGCCCATGGTTCCAGAGAGATTAAGTCCATCATGGCAACAGTCAAGGAAAGCATGGGGCAGAAGCAGGAAGCTGGCTGATCCCCTTTTTATCTGTACACAGGAAGCAGAGAAAGGGAACAGGAAGTAGGGCAAGGCTGTTACACCTAAAGCCTGCCCTTAGTGACATACTTCCCCCCGTGAGGCTTTACTTCCTAATGGTTCCACCATCTTCCCAATTGGGAAGACACCACTATTTGGGGATCATGTGTTCAAATACATGAGGCTATTGGGGTCGTTTCTCCTTTAAACCACCATAGGGAGGAAGGAATTATTTTGGCTCATGGTTTTAGAGGGTTCAGTCCATGGTCCATTGGCCCTGTGTGCTATGCTTGGGCAGAGCATCATAGTAGGGGGAACATGTTGAGGAAGAAGAAAGAGCTGAAAATGGAGAAATACAGGAAGTGGTCAGGGCAAGGCAGAGTTCCAACCAGTGATTTACTTCCTCCAATGAGGCCCCATCTCCCACCTTTACCACCCCCAAGTGCCATCCTAAAAATGACTCTATCTAAGGATTAATCCATTAGTCAGGTAAGAGCTCTCAGGATCCTGTTCTCTCTGGAAATTCTATCACAGAAACACCTACAGGTGCTTCACCAATCCAGCCTAGCAGTCAAAACCAACCAGCACAAATCCCATGTAATGAAGACTCAGTATGTGAGTAAACCAGGAAAGAAGACTCTGTGTTCATAGATGAGCTCATGCACATGGAATCAAGCCAGGACTGTGTGGAGATGGCGCGGGAGAGACATGTAGAAACTGGCCGCAGATGGAAGTGCTGTTCCATAGAAATCTTGGTTGGGGGTGGGAACGTGTTCAGAGGTCTCAGCTGTTGTGACTGTCACCCCTACAGCTCCTTACACCATCATCACCTTCCCCTTCCTGTTCGCTGTGATGTTTGGAGACTGTGGTCATGGGATGGTGATGTTGATGGCAGCCCTGTGGATGGTCCTAAATGAGAAACACTTGCTGGCTCAGAAGAGCACCAATGAGGTGGGTGGCCAGCAAAGGTTCCTGGAGGGAGGATGCTAAAGTGTATATACGAAGGCTGGAGAGATGGCTCAGTGGTTAAGAGCATGTACTACTTTTGCAAAGGACCTGAGTTTGGTTCCCGAACATAACCACCTGTAACTCTAGTACCTTCTTCTGATCTCTTTGGGCACCTACACATACATGGCATACACTCAGAAACAGACATATACATGTAAAAGTAAAAATAAATCTTTAAAAAGTGTGTATGTGATTGTCACCATAGGAATACCATGCTTTTATAAAAATAAGAGAAAAAGATGCAAAGCTTAAAAGAGTCCAATTCAGCATAAAGCACTTGACCAAAGATATTTCCTTTAGATAGCTTGACGTAGTTCAGTTTACCATTTTTTGGACTTTGTCTGTGGCTTTGTCATTGGCTTTTGGGTTATTTTTTATTTTATTTTATTTTTTTTAGAGACAGAGTCTAATGTATCCAGCCTGGCCTTGAACTCACTATGTAGCCAAGGATGGCCTTGAACTTCTGAGCCTCCTGCTTCAACCTCTGGAGAGTGGGGATTACAGACATGTCCCACCATGCCAGGTTTATGGGGTACTGGAGATCATGCATGCCAGGCAAGCACCTTACCAACTGAGTTTATCCCAGGTCTAAAGCACTGATTTTTGCAGATTAAATCCAGGCCCTTTTATGTGCTATGCAAGGGTTCTACCATTAGGCTACACCTCTAGCCCTCTTTTTTTTTTTTTTTTTTGAGACAGAGCCTTTCTATGTAGCCCTGGTTAACTTGGAATTGCTTCATAGACCAGGCTTGCCTCAAATTCACAGAGATTTGCCTCCCTCTGCCTTCTAAGTGCTGGGATCAAAGGGATGTGCCACCATACCCAGCCTCCCCTTAATTTTTCCCCCAACTTCTTTTGCTCTGATTATAAAAACAATATGTATTAATTGTAGAATATAGAAAAAAAAAACAAAACTACAGTCTAACCACTTAGAGAAAAATCACCATGAGTGCTCTTGGATATATTTCCATTTTCTGGTTATCTACAAATATACGATTTTCAAAAATTTCCATCAAAAAGCACACATTATTTGTTGTAGCTTCCTAAAAATATCTTCAAATATCAGGAATATTTGTTCCTAAGAAGTCCTGAGTACTGAGTGCTCACACTACATCTGGAGTCGCTCCATCTTTGATGCAGTCCCCTCACATGATGTTGTGAAGGTTGATGGCCACTCAGGTCTGCACTGGTTAGAGTTTACATGCCAGCCAGTTAGTTAATCACTTATGTTCATGGTAATACATTTGATGGAGTGGAAATATGCCCTTAGCTGTGTTCCAAATCATATGAATGACTGCAGTGTTTTTGCACAGGCTACACTGGTTAGAGCTGGTCCTGTGATGTCACTGTGAGTTAATCATAAGCAAGGTCAGTGGGCAGAATCAACCTGCGACAATTCAGTTTTCCGTGACAAGCTTAACAGATGCCATTTTCTATGAGAAACATTTAAAGCTATACCTCAGCACTTAAAATGAATGGTGTACACATCCAGCATTCTGGAAAAATGTTCCTCCTCTAAATAGATGTGGTCAGAGACTCAACTCTGTAATAGCACAGCCCCAAGTGAATACAGATCTGACCTGTAGTGAAGGAGCTGACCTCAGAGCCAGCTAGAGATCATCTCCTAGAGGCACCCAAGGCCATAGCCTGCCAGTTTCCAGTCCCTTCCTTAGCAGTTTATCTGTATAAACTTGGGAACACCATGGCAAGTGGGTGCCTCCTCTTTGGAGCGTGACATCTGCCTCAATCCCACCACCCCTCCCCACACTACTGATGCTGGGGACATCCCATGTCACACTCCCTTCCTGCATCTCTTCAGACCCCACTGATGCTGATCCTTTCTGTCTCCCTGGGGTCAGATCTGGAACACCTTCTTCAATGGGCGCTACTTGATCCTGCTCATGGGCATCTTCTCTATCTATACTGGTTTGATCTACAACGACTGTTTCTCCAAATCTTTCAACATCTTCGGCTCTTCTTGGAGCGTCCAGCCCATGTTCAGAAATGGCACATGGAAGTAAGTTCCCAGCCTGCCACAGTGTGCTTCCTGGCCATCCAGTGGCCTCTGCGACGGTCTCCACAGAGGGGAGAGTCTACCCTTGGCTCTGCTCACAGTGCACCTGCAAATTCATCTAAGAATTCAGCTTTATCTATTGTGTACAAGACCTATGCCAACTTCTCAGTCCCTGCATGGGCATTGTAATGTGTAGAGATGGCTTGTAAGATTGCATCCCAATTAAATATGTATTGTGGAGCTGGGTGTGATGACATATGCTTTTAATACCAGAAACTCAAGAGGCAGAGGCAGGTGGATCTCTATGAGATCAAGGGCATAGTGAGTTTCAGGCCAGCCGAGGCTACAGGGAGACTCTGTCTCAAACAACAACAGCAAAACAAACATATATATATATATATATATATATATATATATATTACCATAGGCATAAACTAGGCATCTCAGAAAGAACGATAGAAGCAAGGTGTTGTGGAGAAGAAGATGATGTTTACAATGTATTTTCCTCTGGTGAGGAGATGGAGGGGAAATTAAGTCCCATCAGGCATTTAGGAATGAAAGCTTTGCTTCACAAAAGACTGATGCAAGTGTTGAGCTACACAGATCCCCAGCTTTCAGTATCCCACAAGCTACAGTGGGGTATTTCTCTTGATTGTCCAGAAAAGCTGGAGTTCAAGGCTAAGAGATGGTGAGCTTGCAGTGCCGGTTTCCCGGAGTTGCCTTGAGGGTGACAGAGTCAGGAGGGTGAGTGCAGGGTAGGTGCGGCCAGTTGGATGGTCTGGGGGCTACAGGAAAGAAGGATCTGGAAGCTCTCTAACCCCGCAATCCACATCTCCCATGTACTTTCCACAAGTCTTTTAGCAGCCAATCAGATGTGAGGTCCTCCGACTGGAAGCACCATTCTTCAGGGATGTGGACTTTTAAAGAGAAGGAGAAAGCTTTAGAGTTTGAGAGAGAAGTCAGGGTGAGGAATGAGGAAGAGACAGGAGGGCCCTGGAAGGCAGGAGACTGAGAGGAACAAACAAAATGTTTGGATAACCTTGTGTCTTAGGGATCTCACATCGCACACATCACCCTGAGACATCCATAGTCACTTCAGGGCTAATTTACAAACCTGCAGATCCTAACTGATGATTCCTGTCGTCCTTCTGCCCAGTTTCTTGAGGTCAGTCAGTGGAAGACGTTGCAGTCTTGATAAATACATTCCAGTTAAATGATGAACAAGGGAGGATTGACAATGAAGGGAGAGAGAGACAGAAAAAATGCATTTGCAGCCTTGCTTCCCACGTGGCCTCTCTGTATGGAAAGGACTATGACATTTTTTTAAAAATTTTTTCACATTTATTTTTGTTTTTTTTCTTTTGTTTTCTGGGGTTTTTTGGTTATTTTGTTTTGTTTTCTTGTTGTTTTGTTTTTTGAAACGGTGTCACTATATTCTGGCTGGCTTGAGCTCACTATATAGATCAGGCTGGCTTCGAACTCATAAAGATCTGACTGTCTCTGCCTCCTGAGTTCTGGAGACAGAACTCAGACGGCTGGCTTTATTTATTTATTTATTTATTTATTATTTATTTATTTTTGGTCTTTTTGAGACAGGGTCTCCCTGTAGCCCCAGCTGGCCTGGAACTAATTATGTAGACCAGGCTGGCCTTGAACTCACAGAGATCTGCCTGCCTCTGCCTCCCAAGTGCTGGGATTAAAGGCGTGTGTCACCATGCCCGGCTGATTTCTTTATTTATTTTTTTATGTATATGAGTGTTTTGCCTGATTATAATTAAGTGTATCACAAAAGTGCAATGCCTGCGGAGGCCAAAGAGGGTATTGGATCATTTGGAACTGGAGTTATAGTTGTTAGCTACATGGGTGCTGGGAACCAAACCCAGGTCCTCTGCAAGAGAAGCCAGTGCTCTCAAACTACTGACATTTCCTTCTTTTTCTTTTCTCTTTCTGTCCCTCCTCCCCCTCCCCCTCTCCCTCCCCTTCCTCTTCCTCCTCCTCCTCCTCCTCCTCCTCCTCTTCTTGCCTCCTCTTCTTCTTCTTCCTCCCCCTCCCCCTCCCCCTCCCCTTCTTCTTCTTCTTCTTCTTCTTCTTCTTCTTCTTCTTCTTCTTCTTCTTCTTCTTCTTCTTCTTCTTCTTCTTCTTCTTCTTCTTCTTCTTCTTCTTCTTCTTCTTCTTCGTGCCTAAGACAGTACTTGGCATGTGATAGCTATTCGACACCCAAGCATGGAGCAATTGGATGAGCAAAACTGATTCTCTGCAGCAGCACCTGGGCTTTGGTTGACTTCCAAGTCATGGCTGGTGGCAGTAAAGTACTTTTTTTCTGCATCTGGTCGATTGTTTTATTGCTTTTTGTTTTCCCCTTTGTGTCTGTAGTGCTCACATCGTGGAGAAAAGTCCGTATTTACAGCTGGACCCAGCTGTTCCAGGAGTGTATTCTGGAAATCCCTACCCATTTGGGATTGATCCGGTAAGGAGGTCTGGGGTAAAATGTCAGTTGTGTACAATGTGCTATTGAAAAGATCTCTGGCTGGGCATGGTGGCGCATGCCTGTAGTCCTAGCACTTGGGAGGCAAAGGCAGGCGGATCTCTGTGAGTTCAAGGCCAGCCTGTTCTACATAGTGAGTTCCAGGACAGCTGGGGCTACAGGGAGACCCTGCTTCAAAAAGACAAAAAAAAAAAAAAAAAAAAAATCTCTGAATAGAGGAGAAAATGCCAGAGTCCATGAAAAGAGCAAACGGAGGCTGAGATAGGATAACACATGCCAGAGGCTTATGTGACACACAGCTAGATTCAGTAGATGGCCTTCATGGTACCCTGGACTCAGTCACTTTCCACACAGACCACTTCTTTTTCCATCAGTCACTCCACTGCTGGCTAATGATAGCTATTTATAGCTATTTAACTTAAAAAAAATATTTTATTTATTATTATTATTATTATTTTATTTTTTGTGTATGAGTATATTGCCTGGATGTATGTGAGTGCACTCATGTCCTGCAATGCGTGGAGGTCAGAAGAGGGCATCGAATCCCCTGGAACTGGAGTTAAGAACAGTTCATAGCCACCATGTGGGTGCTGGGAATTGAACCTGGGTCCTCTGCCAGAGCAGTCAGTGCTCTTAACCACTGAGCCATCTCTCCAGCCCCAAGATAGTTATTTCAAAAACCCTTGGGGCTTAGGGAGGTCGCTGGGTCAGTAAAGTGCATGGCCTTGCAAGCATGGGGACCAGAGTTTGATCCTTAGAATACTCATAAAAAACCAGGCATGGTCATGTGCTTTAAATCCCAGCCCTAGGGAGGCTGAGACAGGTAGATCCCTGGGGCTGGCTAGCTATCCAGCCTAGCCTACTTGGTGCCAACCTTGGGTCCCAGTAAAAGACTGCTTTAAAAAAGGTGGTGGGGGGGAGCTGGGAAGTTGGCTCAGCAGTTAAGAGCTCACTGTTCTTGTAGAGGACCTGAGTTTGGTTTCCAGTACCCACACTGGGTGGCTCACAACTGTACGAAACTCCAACTTCAGGGAATCCAACGTCCTCTTCTGGCCTCTGTGGGCACCCACGCCCATGTGCATATAGCCACACACAGGCACACACACATATACATAATTTAAAAATAAAATCTAGGGGCTGGGGAGATGGCTCAGCAGTTAAGAACACTGACTACTCTTGCAGAGAAGCCAGGTCAGTTTCCAGTATCCACATGGCAGCTAACAATCATCTGTAACTCCAGTTCCAGGGAATCTGATGTCCTTTTCTGGCCTTTGTGGATATCGCATGACACAGGTACACTTATAGACATGTGGGCAAAAGTCATATACATAAAATTAATAAAATATATTATTTGGGGCTGGAGAGATGGCTCAGTAGTTAAGAACGTTGGCTGTTCTTGCAGAAGACCTAGGTTTGAATCCCTGCACCCACATGGCAGCTAACAACTGTCCAGTAACTCCATTTCCACGGGATCTGACAGCCTCTTCTGTCCTCTGGGGGCATTGCACGACACAGGTACACTTACATATATGTAGGCAATACATGCATACAAATAAAATAAAAAATAATAAATAAAAAATTAAATAAAATATATTATTTTATTATACATGTCCATAAAAAATAATAAAATAATTTTTTTTAAAAAGTAGTAAACAAGCCAGGCCTGCTGGCAAATGCCTTTAATCCCAGCACTTGGGAGGCAGAGGCAGTTGGATCTCTATGAGATCAAGGCAGCCTGATCTACATAGGTCATCTGGGGCTACAGGGAGACACTGGAGGTTATCCTTTGGATTCCATACACACACACACACACACACACACACACACACACACACACACTTTCCGGGCTCTGTGTGTGTGTGTGTGTGTGTGTGTGTGTATTAAATAAGCTATTTAGCATTCTAATCAAGTCCCCTATTTTGGTATTTTCTTACAGTAGATAACATTTTACTTTTCTCCTATAAAATATTCTATTACCTTTTAAATTTATTTTACTACAATAATTGATACAGATTGTTTGTGTACGAACTGTGCACACATCTATGGAAGCCAGTGGTTAACCTTGGTGTCATCCTTAGGATCTGCCTAACTTGTTTTCTTTGTCTTTTTTTAAAGATCAATTATTTATTTATATTTTCATGTGTATGGGTGTTATGCCTGCATGTATGTAAGTGTACCTGTGTCATGCAATGCCCATGGAGGGCACAAGAGGGCATTGGATCTCCTGGAATTGGAGTCGTGGATGGTTGTTAGCTGCCATGTAGGTACTGGGATTCAAACCCGGGTCTTCTGCAAGAACAGCCAGTACTCTTAATTGCTGAGCCATCTCTCTAGTCCTTAATTTGTTTTTTGAAACAGGGTTTTCCCCTGGGACCTCAGGCTCATCAGGCAGGCTAAGGTCGCTGGAAAGTGAGCCCCAGGAATCCTGTCCTTGCACTGAGGTTACATGTGCATGCCACCACACCTCTTTTTACTGAGCCATCTCCACAGCCCCCTGTAGGTTAAAAAAAAAAGAAAAAAAAGGTATATGCTTAATTTTGCTTGTTTGTTCCTATTTCAGTCTCTAGACTGGCTCCTTTCACAGTCTTTAGACCATGAGAAGATCTCAGCGAAGACAAAGGCCCTGAGTTGTAAACACATAATGCATATTCATTCGTAGGAAGCCAAACATCATGGCCCAGTCCGTATTGCCACCAGGTGGCAGCATTGTGCTCCCAAGAGACGTGACTAGTGTAGCTTGAACTTGGCATGTGCTGTCCATTAATGCTATTCCTCAGCTCTCTCTCTAGGAGAGAACCTGAGAGCCCAGTTCCAGTTGCCGGCAGCAGAGAGTGAACAGCACTGGCCCCAACAGTGGATCTCCCATCCCTTTCCTCTTGGTGTCATCTGCTTAGTTTCCTTGGGCTCTCCCTAATGCCTCTCCTCACTCTTATAAAAGCACTGAGGAGATTTTTCAGACTTGCCACCCAGGTACGTTTGTATTCTAAGTTTTTTTTTTTCAAATATTTTACAAATATTTATTTTTATTTTGTGTGTATGAGTGCATTGCTTGAATGTAGGGAGGTGCACCTGTGTCCTGCAATGCCCATGGAGGTCAGAAGAGGGCATTGGATCCCCTGGAACTGGAGTTACAGATGGTTGTTAGCTACCATGTAGGTGGCTGGGAACTGAACCTGGGTCCACTGCAAGAGCAGCCAGTGCTCTTAACCACTGAGCCTTCTCTCCAGCCCCTGAATTATAAGTTTTATCAAAGCAGATGAAATCCTTGAAAACTGGCTTGTAAACTTCAAAGTGTGAGAGATGGATGTGAGTTGTTATTTGGCAGAGTGAAAGGTTTTTCCTTGGTCAGGATGTCATGACCAGGAAGCAAACTCTTGGAAGTTTAGAAGACATGTCAGGGTCTGGAAATCATCCTTCGCTTTGACTCCGATGGCTCTGACCTTCTCCTGCACCACCCACACCCAACTGTCAGCAAATCCCATCTGTCCAGTTTTGCTCCTCAGGAGCGGTGGAGATGTAGACCTTTATACTTAAAGGCTGAGTGGATCCAGGAATGCTGGGGAGGATGTGGGGGGAAAGGGAACCTTGATACACTGCGGGTGGGACATAAACTGGTGCAGACACTATGGAAGTCAGTGTGGAGCCCCCCCCAAAACCTGAAATTAACACTTCCCCATGATCCAGCTCCCCCACTCCCCATTCTGTAACAGACATACTTGCACATCCGTGTTTATTGCTGCACTATTCACAATAGCCAGTAGCTGGAGACAGCCTAGATGTCCACCCGCACATGAATGGGTAAAATGTGCGTGTACACAGTAGGACTTTATTCAGCCTTAGAGAAAAATGAAATCATGGCATTTTCAGGGAAATGGCTAGCTGGAAACTATTATGTACTGGGGGAGGGCAGAGAAAGGCAGGCGATCAAGTTGAACAAAACATAAGTACTCAAACTTATGAAAATGCCATAATGAAACCAATTACTCTGTATGCTAACTTTAAAAATTAATTTAAAAAGTCATTTGTGAGAGAAAGAAACTCAAGTGGTCCAGAGTGCCTACTCCGCATGTAATCTTGCAGCCTGTGCACAATTTTGAAAAGGAAATAAAACAAATGTCAGGGTAACAGAAAAGATGAATATTGAAAATAAGGAAAAAGGTTTTGGTAACATTTAGAACTTTGAAAATTTCTGGCCTTGGGCTGGAGTGGAGGTCAGTGGTAGAGCACTCACCTAGCAGGCTGGAGGCTCTGGGTTCTATTCCCAGCACCACACACACACACACACACACACACACACACACACACACAAATACTGTAGGAATGACTTCTATTAATGGCCATAATCTGGACTAATGATGTTTAATTAACCCCAGCGAAACCATGACATGCGCTTTTGGGTCTGATGACAGGGACCTTTCTGGCAACCTCAATTTGGTACTCCACCCAAAAGACAATAAATGAATGTGGGTGAGAATGAACAGAACAAAGTGCTGCAAGCAGGGCACCCACTCATCTTGGTTGGACACTGGGGTTTGGGAATGGACACATGACCTTGGATGAATGTAACTAGGGTGAATGAGATACTAGGGATGAAAAGTCCGGATGGTCTGTGAAGATGAAGGATGCTGAACTTGAACTTATATTCCCCAGTGAAGCTGGAGAAACCATTGTGAATAAATTATGAGTGTGGCCTGACTGGGTGGAGAGGTTTGGGGTGGAGGATACAGTGGGAGAAACGGGGGTCCAGAGACAATTCCATCAGCACAGGGTGAAGATACAGACAGCTCCATCTGCACAGGTTGAGGGGACAAGAGAGATCCATCAGTACAGTTCTGGGAGATGGCCTGTTCTACTAGATAGCTAGGGGAATTGGTTTCTTCTGAATTTGGGCCACTCTTAAAAACTTAAGGGTCAGCCTATTCAAGTGATTATAATGTTGGTGTAATAAATGCTGCAGGACTGGAGAGATGGCTGAGTGGTTAAGCGCACTGGATACTCTCGCAGAGGACCTGATTTTATCCACATGGCAGCTAACAACCGTCTAACTCCAGTTCCAGGGGATCCGATGCCCTCTTCTGACCTTCGTGGGCATTGCACGACATGGATGCATGCAGACAATACACTTATACACATAAAATAAAAATAATAGGGCTGGGCATGGTGGCGCACCTCTTTAATCCCAACACTTGGGAGGCAGAGCCAGGTGGATCTCTGAGTTCAAGGCCAGCCTGGTCTACATGGTGAGTTCCAGGACAGCTGGGGCTACAGGGAAACCCTGTCTCAAAAAGACCAAAAAAAAATCTATCTATCTATCTATCTATCTATCTATCTATCTATCTATCTATCTATCTATCTATTTATGTATAGATAGATATAGAAAATAAATACTGCAAAATGAAATTTCTTATAAAATTATACACACATGATTAAAATCTATACATGACAGAATATAAAGTGAAGCAGATACTCCTTTCCCACCCCTGCTCTGGCAGTCCTACTCAGCACAGATAACAGAGCATCTCTGAGCCTCTCAGTGTTTGGGTCACAGAGACTGATGAAGGGTTAAATCAGTGCATAATGCATTTATTCACAGTGTTCACTATTTTTGTGAGTCAGATCATAAAATATCTCACCTCCATAGCAGAATGACCTGAGGTGTTCCTAAACGTTCTTGTTTCCAGTGAGGGAATTGGACCCAGAGTCTTAGGTGCTCTGCCACTAGATACACCCAGTCTTAACTATTTTCTTCTAAATGAGACGTGGTTAAGAGTCTGTGCTCTGGAATCTGCCTTTATGTAAGTCTTGACTTTTCCATCTATTTGCTCTGTGATTTTGAACAAATGCTCATTTCTGTTCATTTCCTCACCTGTAGAATGGCTGTAGTAGACCTTGCCCAAAGATTGCTCAGCAGGTGAAATCATTTTTTAATTTAAAAATTTTTGTTTTATTCTTGCAGTTTATTTGTGTGTGCACAGAGGTAGAGGTCAGAGGACAACTTGGAAGAGTCAGTTCTCCCCTTCCACCTTGTGGGTCCTAGGGATTGAATTCAAATTATTAGGCTTGGCAGACTCTCTGGTACTGGAGCTACAAACTGTTGTGAGCCACCATGTGGGTGCTGGGAACTGAAACCAGGTCCTCTGAAGAGCAATTAGTGCTCTTAATCACTGAGCCATCTCTCCAGCCAGATGAAATGATTCTCATGTGTAAACACCCCTAGAGCAGTCTAGTGGTAAACATGGCACATGTTAGTTATTATCATCTGTGGGGTCTCTCCCTTCCCTTGTGGGTCGTTGGCCACTGGTCCACGAGGACAAAGGGAGCAGAAGCAATGAGCGGGGTCAGGATGGCCAGTGAGCACTGATGGAAGAAAGCCCTTCCGGGGAGGCAGGTTCAGTGATACAAACAGCTCCGTTTATTCAGTGAAACAGCTCTGTTTATTCAGTGGTGCTTAGGGAAAATACAGTGTGGAGGCAGTAGCCAAAGCTTCAGCTGATAGGTGCTCATAGTATGCTTTATTTACATGTGGCAGTGGGCTCCTATCATCCAACTATCGGGCAATGCCTAATTATCATATAGAAAAAACCTGGGGGTAGTTTTTACTCCAGGTAACTATGCCAAAGGTCATGTTCCAAATAAGGTCAGGCATCCATGCTTGGCGGCACTTTCCAGGTAAGTCAGGCAGAGAGCTCCTGCTGAGAAAGGAGCCAACCTTAACAGCAGGGTTCCCCAACAATCATTTTATTTCTTTCAAGGTACATAAGTAGCTTAATCTTGCTAAGATTATAATAAATCCTCTGTAAACTTGTCTATAGAATGAGAATATTTATATCTAAGAGAGTCTTTGTTGGAATTAAACGATATAAACACATCTGAAGAACTTTGAATATACCAAATACTTAACCTATTTAAAAATTTGTATTTATTTTTATTTTATGTATTGAATACTTTTGCCTGTATGTAAGTGCACCCATGTGTGCAATGCCTGTGGAGGCCAGAAGAGGGCATTGGATTCCCCTAGGACACTGTGGTCCATTCTCCTGCCATCTTGCTGATCTCTTAGTGGCTGTTCAGCTGGAGAACACTGCAAAGCGGATCAGTGAGTGGCAGCTCCTGACAGCATGTCTGAATGCATATGTTTGTGCATATGTGTGCACACACATGGACGAGGGGTCAAGATGACTATATATTAAAGCTGTGCCTACCTGGATAAGAAAAGAATTTTGGAACAGGATGTTGTTTATGAGGTAAGGTAAGAAGGCTGTGTGGACTTGATGTCTTCAGGATGGAGCATAGCAAACCCAAGGATGTGCCTCACAGACCCTTGGAGATGCACCTGAAGTTCAGGTGGGGTCAAGGGTAGGAGCCAGAATTTGGAGTCACTTGCATAGGGCTGGGAATGGACATCACAAAGATACTGAGACTTCTGTGGTGAGGAACATAAGTGACTGAGGTTACTAACCAGCGCCAGACCTGACTAGTTCTCTAGCCATCCTATATGCTTGTTTGGGGCTAGATAGGTACATGTGTCCCCACCGGGCATGCCAGGGCCAAGACAATTTGGAAGGCAGAAACCATATCTTATCCATAGTGGTTATGAAGACTCGCTATAGAAAACGTTTCTTGAGAAGTTTCTGGAAAAGTATCCCAGAATTAAGAACAAAATGGTCTACTATTAAAACGGAATTGGGGCTGGTAAGATGGCTCAGTGGGTAAAGACGTTTGCCACCAAGCCTGATGACTGAGTTCAATCCCTGAAACCCATGTGGCAAAAAGAAGTGACTCCTGTGGGTTGTCCTCTGACTTCCACAGGCACACTGTAGCACATACACCCCTCCCCCCACACTCACACATATACATACAAAATAAAAAGGAGTTCAGATCCATTTTTGGGTTACCACCCTGTAGGCCATGAGTACAGGAGCTGAAACAAGTTTGGGATTCTCTCCACTGTATTTCATTTGGCACCTTTATCTCTGCGATATACATTACATTTATTTATTTGTGTGTGTTTGTGTGTGTGTGTGTGTGTGTGTGTGTGTGTGTGTGGACAAATCTGTGCAGTTGGTTTTCTCCTTTCACATTTACCTGGGTGTCAAGGATAGAATTCAGGTCACCAGACTTGGCAGCAAGCACCCTCAATTGCTGAGCCATCTTGCCAACCCATATCTCTGATTTTCATCTAGTACCTTGATACTTAATCAATGGCACTAACGTCTGACACTTTGTCATCACAGTTGCGGTTAAGACAGGATTTTCCTTTCCCTTTCCTGAGCCTAGTAGGCATCCCAAGAACAGCTTCCTCAAGGGAAATTGTGTTGTGACCACCCCCGCCAACTCCTGCAGAACTTCTTGGCTCTGCCTCATGTGTGTCTCATGATGATTCTCATTCAGATTTGGAACCTGGCTTCAAACAAACTCACATTCTTGAACTCCTATAAGATGAAGATGTCAGTTATCCTGGGAATCGTCCAGATGGTTTTCGGTGTGATTCTCAGTCTCTTCAATCACATGTGAGTTTCCTGTTCACCCTCTATCTGCTAGTCTGATGGCTGATGAGGAGGAGGGGCAGGGCCACCAGCAAGCCTTCTGGTTGTTTCTCTGTGGGTCTTGGCTTAAGCCGGAATATGCTGGTTGGCTAGAATCAGCCTCACCTCTGGTTTTGTTGAGCACTCTGTCAAAGTGAGCATGTGCTTTTCACCTGGGAAATACCTGAGGGTCTGTCAGGAGACTGGGAAGCTTGCAGTGCCTTCCTTGTGTCCCCCAAACTCCTGGAAGGCCAGTGGGTGCAGCATCCAGCTCAGCCCCACCCAGTGGGCTATGTGGGATTTGTGTGAATTCTGGCTACAGTACCCCCAGTCCCACCTCCTGCTTGGTGTCCTCTCTTTAACTGGTAACAGCCTCTTTCCCACTCGTCTTTCATGTTGGCACTCTATTCCTTTCCTTCTGTTGAGATCTATCACTGGAAATCCTCTTAAACTTATTTATGCTAAAGTTCAAGTGTTTGAACATCACTCAAATGCTTTCATGGACATGGCGGCTGACTTCAAGTACCACTGAAATCTTACTTGCCACTAGGTTAGGAGAAGTGGAGTGTCAAGGCCCAAAGAAATGACAGAAAGCTTGTAATTAATGAGCTTAAGTCTCACTTCTAACTCTCAGTCAGTGTGTGATTATGGGCCTCATGCCCAGCATCTCTGAGGTTATTACCATGTTAAAAAAAAAAAAAAAAAGAATGGGGGCTGGGAATGTAGCTCAGTTGATTCTGGGGGACCTGGAGCCTTGCCAGTGTCATGGCAGAGAAAGGGTGGAGAGTTACTCAGTGAGTCTTACAAGCTTCTGTCCAAAGTGACATGTACCATTTCTGATTCCCTTTTTAAAAAAATATTTTATCATTTTTTATTTTATGTGTATGAGTATATTGCCTGCATGTATGTAAGTGCACCTGTGTCATGCAATGCCCACAGAGGTCAGAAGAGGGTGTCAGATCCCCTAGAACTAGAGTTACGGATGGTTGTTAGCTGCCATGTGGGTGCTGGGAACCAAACCAGTGCTCTTAACCACTGAGTCATCTTTCCAGCCCCCTCTGATCCTTTTTGTTGGCAAAAAACAGTCATGTGGTGACTTCAACTCTGAGAGGCCATTGAAGTAATTCTTTTTGAAAAGTCAATAAGTGGTCTATACAGTGAGAAGTGCTGAGCAAGAAACAAAGTGTGAGGGAGGGCTTCCTGGCTGGGCCAGATGGTCACTGGCCATGTTATGCACCAGGGCCCTTTTGACCTTCTGACTCCGGAGCCTCTAGCCCTCTAGCCCCTTCTTCGCCTGGTAAGACTCTGTTTTAGAGCGGGAACCTGAAAACTTTCTGTGGAAAGGGCTGAAGAGTGACTAACACAGTTTCTATTGCAACTACTCCATCCTGGCTCAGTGTCTTGAGAGCGGCCATAGTGTGCTGTGTTCTGTTTGAATTTCATTTAATTTTATGACCTATAATCCCAAGTCATTAAAAAAAATTTTATTTTATTTGAAATTTTGTTTTATTTTATGTGTATGAATGCTTTGTCTGTTTGTATGTAAGTGCACCTGTGTCAAGCAATACCCACAGAAGCCAGAGGTCATTGGATCCCTGGAACTGGAGTTACAGATGGTTGTCATGTGAGTGCTGAGAACTGAACCCAGATCATCAGAAAGAGCAGCCAGTGCTCTTATCCACTGGACTAGCTCTTAGGCCCCCATCCCCCCAGCCTTGAACTCCCGATCTTCCTGATTTCTCCACCTAAGTGCTGGGATTACAGGCATCAGCCACCACACTTACTTTCTTTTTTCACCTTTTATCTTTGAGACAGGATCTTGTTAAGTTGTCTAGGCTGCTTTGCAACTCCCTCCATAGCCTAGAAGTCCTGGAACACCTGATCCTTCTGCCTCAGCCTCCTGAGTGGCTGTGATGACAGCCTGTGTGACCAGACCCCGCTAACTTCATTTGTCCCCATGCCCAGCTGTGAAACAGCACCCAGGGAAGAATGCCAGTTCCTGTAACTTCCAGGCTCCCCTCTGGTACACAGGCTGCAGTTTGGTGATCCTGTCTTAGCACAGGTTTAGGAGAAAAGCTTCCATGTCCTCTTTATTGAATCAGTGTGTTGACGGGAGCCAGGTCTGCATGTGAAGCTGTCAGATCACTGGCTGCCTACGTGGCTGTGACCTTGACTTTCCTTTACTGTTACTTTCAGGTTCTCTCTGAATCTTCTGTACAAAAGCACTTGCCCAGTATTTCTTTTTTTCTTCCTCTTTCTATCCATACATGGTTGTGTTTGTTAGGGGAGTGCCACTGTTTGCCAGCACTGTTCAAGAAGGAGATGAACATTTTGTGCTTTGGAGAGAGTGCTTAAGTGCTAATGTTCTGTGGATGTCCTGTTTTATATGTGTATTTTCCACCCCCAGATACTTCAGGAGAACTCTCAACATCACCCTCCAGTTCATCCCTGAGATGATCTTTATGCTCAGCCTCTTTGGATACCTGGTTTTCATGATCATTTTCAAGTGGTGTCGGTATGATGCCCACACATCCCAGAAGGCCCCCAGCATCCTCATCCACTTCATCAACATGTTTCTGTTTGACTACAATGACTCCTCCAATGCACCCCTGTACAATCGTCAGGTAACTTTAGCTTTTTTTTTTTTTAAGTCTCCTTTTATCTACTTGATTACATACAATCTCTCTCATGCTCTTTGGGTATTACACAGAGTAGTTCTTTTGCAAGACTGAGTTGTCTTAGCACCGAGGGACGAAGGTTAAGTTCTTCAACTTGTTCTTATTAAATGAAGGTGCAGGCATAGAAACCTGTGGTATGACACCCACACTTCCTGCTGGGCTAATGCACAAGGGACATTATTGTTGAGTTGAGAACTGGCTAGGAAAACAGGAAAAAGGAATCCTTCTGATGGACTGGCTTGAAACTACAAAATACTTCAGAGAGCACCTTCAAAATTTAAATCTTGGGGCTGGAGAGGTAGCTCACTGGTTAAAGAACACTGACTGCTCTTGCAGAAGACCTGGGTTTGAATCCCAGCACCCACATGGTGGCTAATAACCTTCTGTAACTCCAGTTCCAGGGGATCCAACACCCTTTTCTGTCCTCTGAGGGCACTGAACAACACAGGTTCACTTACACACATGCAGGCATAACACACACACACACACACACACACACACACACACACACACATTTTAAATATCTCATTCAGACAACAGAAACAGGCCCATCTCTATGGTTTCAAGCCCAGACCAGTCTACTTGGCTAGCTCCAGGCCAATAAGAGACCTAATCTCAAAACACAAGATTGCCAGGTGTCATGGAGCACATTTTTAATCCCAGCACTCAGAAGGTCTAGAGGCAGGTGGGTCTCTGTAAGTTTGAGACCAACCTGATCTACATATGGTATTCTAGGCCAGCCAGGGCTACTCAGTAATATTTTGCCTCAAAATAAATAAATATAAAAGATAAAAATATTTAATTCAAAAAACTAACTCTAGGGGCTGGAGAGATGGCTCAGCGATTAAGAGTACTGGCTGCTCTTGCAGAGGACCCAGTTTCAATTCTCAGCACCCACATGGCAGCTAATAACCATTCATAACCCTAATTCTAGGGGAATCCAACACCCTCTGATCTCCGAGGGTACTGCATGACACAGGTGCACTTATATACATGCAGGCAATATACTCATATGCATAAAATAAAATTAAAAATAATAAATAAAAAAAACCAACAAAACTCTAGCTGAGGTTCACATGAAGGAAACCAAGAACAGAAGTTCCTTTGTTTCCATGGACAGTGGTTTCTGGAAACTGTGAACCAGGCTCATGCTATCCCATGATTCCCACAGTCACCTGGAGATCCCACCTTACCCCCATTTTCTGCTCTTCTTCCATGCACGTCCCAACAGTTGGGACTTTACTGCTACTCTAGTTTTTCCCATTTCCTTCAACCTCTTTATCAGCTTAATGGTTGACCCTGGGTATCCACAGGACCCCTCAGAACTCTGGAGATACCAAATCCACAAATGCTCAAATCTCTTTTATAAAGTGGCATAGTATTTGTACAGAGCCCTTGTAACCCCCTTGCAACTAATCTCTGCATCACTTTTAATTCCCAGTAAATTGTAAACAGTATATAAATCATTGTCTGGCTGTTTTGTTTAGAGAATAATGACTAGAAAACGGTCTGTATGTGTTCAGTACAGACACAGCTTTCTCCTTTTTGTATTTTTGATCCATGATAGCTTGATTATGCAGATACGGAACTTGCAGATGTGGAAGGTCTTGTGTTTGTTATTTCATCATATGTTAACATTTATTCATTAGGCTTTTAATATTTTATCATTTTTATTTTATGTGTATGAGTACATTGTGTGCATGTATGTAAATGTACCCATGTTGTGCAATGCCTGCAGAAGTCAGAAGAGGGCATTGGATCCCCTGGAACTGGAGTAATGGATGGCTGTTAGCCACGATGTGGGTGCTAGGAATCGAGCAGCCAGTGCTCCTCACTGCTGAGCCCTCTCTCCAGCCCCACATTAGGGTTTTACATTTTTTTTTAGGTTAACATACAAAGTAGTGGATTTCATCATGGTGTCTTCATACGTAGGTATCGTTGTACCTCTCATTGGTCCTCCTTCCTCACTGCCCTCCCCCGTGTCCCATCCTCCCTCCAGCTTGTTTCCTTCCTTCTCCCCCATAAAGGATATTTTATTTTGAAAAGATATCAGTGCCCCATTGGAACTGGCTATAAAAAAAACTCTAAGTAATTCTTTGATAATACAAATTGTTCTTTTTCCCTGGGCTCACCCAGTGATTAGTCTGATAATATAGCTTGAGCTTGAAGGAAGGTTTTTTTGTTTAGTTTAGTTTTGTTTTTTTTGAGACAGGGTCTCTATGTAGCCAGCCCCAGCTGACCTGGAACTAGCTATGTAGACTAGACTGGCCTTGAACTCATAGAAATCCACCTGCCCCTGCCTCCTGAGTGCTGGGATTAAAGGCATGCACCACCATGTCTGGCTTGAGGGAAGGTTTTTATGAAAGGAGAACTCACTTTAAAATTTAAAAAAATTAATTATTTTTATTTTATGTGTATGAGTGTTTTGCATGGATATAAGTGTACCACATGTGTGCAATGCCTGTAGAGGCCATAAGAGGGCATCAGACCCCCTGGAACTGGAGTTACAGGTGGTTATTAGCTGCCATGTGGGTGTTGGAAACTTTACCTGCTGAACCCAGGTCCTCTGCAAGAGCAGCAAGTGCTTTTAACCACTGAGCCATCTCTCCACTTCTATCCTGATTCCTCTGACCAAGTTCTGTGGCTAGATTCACAAGGCCAGGTGGCCCATCCATGCAGAGGTCCTCTGCCAGTGACTGCACACACTGGATGATCTGGCTGAGTGTGAGCTTCTCTTCTGGCCACACCATGCTCATGAGGTTGATTCCTAGCTGTGCTCCCTCCCCTACAGCAGCAGCAGCAGGCAAGAGGAAAACATGCTTTGTGACAAGGTTTTTGTAAGAGATGGGTTTAGATAATCAGAGAAGAAACATACCTTGAAGGGCCGTTTTGTGGCATCTTGTCTGACTTGTTAAACATACATGGCAACCTTGAGCCAGCCTCAGAGTCCTGGCACGAAGTGAGTATATTTTTTTTTGTCTTTTTGAGACAGGGTCTCCCTGTAGCCCCAGCTTTCCTGGAACTCACTATGTATACCAGGCTGGCTTCGAACTCACAGAGATCTGCCTGCCTCTGCCTCCCCAGTGCTGGGATTAAAGGCGTGTGCCACCATGCCCAGAATGAGTGTATTTTAAAGGTTCCTTTACTCCATATTGGCATTGAAGAAGAAGGCTTGCTTGGGAAATCCAAATATTCTCTTTTAGACAGAGGCCTCGGGGTCACCAATTATTTCCTGTGTTAAGTGTTTGCATAAAAGGCTGAAGGCCTCCCTTAGCCTGGAAAAGGCACTGAGTGACTTTCCAACTTTTTGTTGTATTCAAAAACATTATAAGGAGCTGACTGCTTTCTCCGCTCTCTAGTGTGAAGATTAATTATCTTGACATAGTTTGAAATTTTCATAACTTCAGTCTGGGGCCAGGTGACTGGAGGAAATGATGTCAGTTAATAAGTCCCTGCTCAGCTTTGTCCTGGCTGTCTTAGCCTACGAATGTGTGACCCTTGCCAGGTGCTTTGTACACCATTGGGTGAGGGGTGTTGTAAAAATGGACAAGTGGTAACAAGGCAGCTTAATGTGCTGGGGCTTCACTGGGCAAATGTGAGGTGGGTCACCTGATCCTCATTCCCTCTTCTGAGCATGTAAAATAGAGACTAGGACATTGAACAGATAAAATATTCCCCCTGGGTAAATCTTGTTACCACTGTGGTCAAAAACCATCTCTTGATTTACATCTTGAGCTGCTCAGAACAGCTGAAGAAACAGGAAGACTCACTAACAGCTGGGAGCCCTGAGCCTGCCTCACAAAAGCAGCTGAATCGGTCCTCAGAACTGGGTTGTGTGGGTAAGAAATGTGTGAGAAAAGAAGTGGGGTGCTGAGGACCTGAGAGGGTAGTGAAGGGGACTCCACCTGGGTCTTAGCACAGGCCAGAGGACAAAATGGACCATGAGAAATCTGAATGGAGACACAGAGTGGATATCCCAACCCATCAGGGAACAGGAGGAGGAAAGACAGGTGGAGGTTGTGGGAGAACTCTTGTTTTCTTTTCTTTTCTTTTCTTTTTTTTTTTAAAGAAAGAGAGCAAAAAAACTCAGATAATTATCTAGCACTGGAAATATATAATTATTGACTTAAATAAAATGGCCCAAGGCTTTCGAAGTGATGGTTAGAGTCATGAGACCTTCCCATTTTCTTCTGACTCTGGGGTGGCTATGTCTATGACTCTGGGGTGGCTATGTCTATGAAGCAGGGTTAAGGGACAAGGCAGCATAAAACCACCTTTATAGTGAGTGTGTCTCATGAGGATTTGTTCTGAAGACTGACTCCATATAGTGTGAGCATATAATAAGGGCTCTGCATTATATAATAATACATAGATAGAGTAAGCAAAACAGAGATGGTTTCTACCCTTCACTGGACATTGGGCTCCACAAGGCAGACATTTCTCCATTTGCCCTAGGAATATGCTCATATGAGGATGAGCAGACTCAAAAGGCTCTAGATTTCTCAGAGCACTGCCAAAATGACTGCCTTCATCCCTTTGAGCCTATGAAGTGTGCCTTGTAGTTATGTGGTCATGTGATGGTCATCAGACTACCATTTTGGTTTTACAGCAAGAAGTCCAGACTTTCTTTGTTATTATGGCGCTGGTTTCTGTGCCATGGATGCTTCTGATTAAGCCATTTATTCTTAGAGCCAAGCACCGGAAATCTCAGGTAAGGACGGGCTTTCAGTCAGACGTCTGTGGGTCATAGCCTGGGTTCCTGGAAATGGCTGTCTAGGGTGGAGAGAGAACAGTGTGCTTCCCTGGAGACCTGCTGGAGTGAAGGCCTGGCCTACCTTAAGTATGGCTCTTTCAGTAGAGTCATACCTGGGCCCCCTTAATTCCAACAGGAAATGTCCTTATTTCCCAGACACATTAAGCCTTAGGTTTCTCAAAGTTTGTTCAGGATGTCCATGTCTGGTGGTCATTAAAGATTTTTAAACAGGGCTGGAGAGATGGCTCAGTGGCTAAGAGCACTTGCTGCTCTTGCAGAGGACTAGGAATCGGTTCCCAGCACCTACATGGTGACTCACAACTGCCTATAATTTCAGTTCCAGGGGATCTGAAATCCCCTTCTGTCCTCTGAGGGCACTAGGCATACAAGTGGCATATATGCATACATGCAGGCAACACACATAAAAATAAATCTAAAAACAATATTTATAATCATCTCAACTTGGTTGTTTTATTAGTTGAACATAGGATTTTATTATAGTTTTACATTTTGCTTATCATTTTTTTAAAGCTTTTATTTTTATTTTTATATTTTATTTTTTATATTGCTTGCATGTATGTAAGTGCACCTGTGTTGTACAATGACCACCTACCTAGTTGTTGCTTTCTACTCTTTCTTGTTTGAAAATTGGGAGCAAAATACAGGTATAGAGAATGTGGAGCCCTGACTGTCACCATATATATATTGGTCTTTTTGAGATGTGGTCTCCCTGTAGCTCCAGCTGGCCTGGAACTCACTATGTAGACCAGGCTGGCCTTGAACTCACAGAGATCCACCTGCCTCTGCCTCCCTAGTGCTGGGATTACAAGTGTATACCCCCATGCCCAGCTATTTCTATTCTTTAAAGGAGTATTAAAAGTTGCTCTTCATCAATATTCTAAATTGTAAGATTTCATTATATGTTGCTGCAGACTTTCTTGGGAAGCCACAGTAGCTGGCAAATTCATATGTCAGTTTTTATTTATGGATAACCCTCTCCTCCATTGCTAGATATCAATTTCAGCCAATTTATTTCTTTTTTTTTTTCTAAATTTCTTTGAGCCTCAGGTTTATCCAGGGAGCACAGAAGAGTTTAACATCAACCTAAAGCAAATAGGATTTAAAAAGATTAACCCCTCCCAGAGTCTAGCTAAAGCATGTAGATGCGGCTTGAGATTATTCCCTGCTTTCTTCTGTTAGTGCAGAAGAGTCAGTGGTATGTGTTAGATTGTGAGTGCTTTAAATGGCTGTAGGTGTTTGTAGATTAAATTCTGCTTTTCTAAAATCCACATTGGATATTGATCTCAAAGACAATTTATACGGAATATGGAGAAAGAGAATAACAAATAAACAAACAAAAACCTTGTTAGTTTGGTTAACTGAAGAGAGACCAAGATTGGGAAGAGAGATTGGGCTACCTCACAAGAACATGGAGGTGTGGTGGTGCATGCCTTTAATCCCAGCACACCTTTAATCCCAGCACTCTGGAAGGCAGAGGCAGGCAGATCTCTGTGAGTTCAAGGCCAGCCTGGTCTATATAGTGAGTTATAGGACAGCTGGGGCTACAGGGAGACCCTGTCTCAAAAAAAAGCCCCCCCCCAAAAATAGATAAGAAAAAATTGTAATCCCACACTTGCCTTCCAAGTTATTGTTTTTATTTAATGTGTATGAGTGTTTTGCCTACATATATGTATGTGTACCATGTGTGTGCAATTCCCAAAGAGGCCAGAAAATCCTAGAACTGTATTTAGAGATGGTTGTTAGCTGCCATGTGGGTGCTGGGAACTGAACTTGGGTCCTCTGCAAGAGCAGCCAGTGCTCTTAACTGCTGAGCCATCTCTCCAACCCTGTCTTCCAAGTTCTTGTATGGGTTTATTTATTGAACTAGGAAGTTAAAAAATATTTTAAGATTTTGTTGGCTTGATTTAAACAATTTAAAAAATGTTTTATTTATTTTTATTTTATGTGTTTGAGTGTATTGTCTGCATGTATGTAACTGTACCAGTGTCATGCAGTGTCCATGGAGGCCAGGAGAGGGCATCAGATCCATTGGAACTGGAGTTAAAGATGGTTGTTAGCTGCCATGTGGGTGCTGGGAACTGAACCTGGGCCCTCTTCAAGAGCAGCTAGTGCTTTTAACTGCTGAGCTATCTCTCCAGCCCCTTTTAAACATTTAAACATTTGGCACATCGACTTCCAATTTTACCCTTGCCCAGAGCCTCACAAATATTAATATCTGTAGATCTGCTGAAGAAAGAGAAAGACATTGTAATGTGCTGTTACAAAAATCATTCTAGGACAAACGTAGGCCTCATTGTGAATGGAAGAAATAAAGGTTAAGTGGCCCTGATCTGAAAATCCAAAATCTGAAATGTTCCAGATTCAGAAGTTCTTGAGCTCCAAAATCATACCACAGGTGGCAAAGTCCACATGTGATCTCATGTGACAGGCACACTCAGAATATTAGATTACCATCAGGCTACGTGTATGAAACACAAATAAACCTGCTTAGACTTGGGTTCCATCCTCAAGATGTTCCATTATGTACATGCAAATATTCCAAAATCTAATAGGATTGAGATCTGAAATGCTTCCTGTCTTCAGCATTCTAGATGAGGGAAACCTAATCTCTATTACTTCAAATTTAGAGGTAACAGCACTTGGGAGGCAGAGACAGGTGGATCTCTGTGAGTTCAGGGCCAGCCTGGTCTCCCTAGTGAGTTCCAGGACAGCTGGGGCTACAGAGAGACCCTGTTTCCAAAAAAAAAAAAAATTTAGAGGTAAAAACAGTCCAAATTGAATACTTCTACCTAGATTTTTTTTTTTTTTTTTTTTTGTCTTTTTGAAGTAAGGTCTCCCTGTAGCCCCAGTTGTCCTGGAACTCACTATGTAGACCAGGCTGGACTTGAACTCACAGAGATCCACTTGCCTCTGTCTCCCGAGTGCTGGGACTAAAGGTGTGTGCCACCATGCCTGGCTTCTAAGCTACTTTTATAAAATCAGTTTTTAATTTGACAAATCAAGGAATTTTATTCATCTTTTATCAGTTAATTTGTCCATAGAACTCTACCTGTTCAACTCACCAAGCTGTGTCAAAGGTACAACTGACACTCTGTGATGCTATGTTTCTCTTAATAATACAAAGGCACTGTTGTCCACACATTACTTTCTGTAAATCCTGCATAATTTGGCATATGCTAAAGCATGGCATGGAAAAGCCCATGCTCTGAAATTCAATCCCTGGGTTTAAATCTTGGCTCTGTCACTTGCTAACTTTCCCGTCTATAATCTTGGTTACAATTCTTAACATTTCTGTTCTGGGTTACATCTCTAGTAGAGTAATAATTCTGCTTATATAAAATGGCTATTTAGGACAAGAGAGATGACTCAGGTGTTAAGAACACTGGGTACTCTTGCAGGGGACCTGGGTTCAGTTCTTAGTAACCACATGGTAGCCAACAGCCATCCATAACTCCAGTTCAAGGAGTCCTACACCCTCTTCTGACTTCTGCAGGCATTGCATGCACATGGTGCACTCACATACATTTAGGTAAACTCGTACACATAACAAAATTAAAAAAAAATAAGTTGGCTGTTTAGGACTAGAGAGATATCACAGCAGTTAAGAGCACTTGCTCTTGGAGGGAACCCACGTTCAGTTCCCAGTTTCCATACCAGGAGGCTCACAGCCACCTGTGACTGCAGTTCCAGGAGCTCTGATGCCCTCTTGTGATCTCTGTGGTTACTGCACTTATGTGCATATCCACACTCAGACACCCATCTGTATACATAATTTTAGATAAATAAATAAATAAAATGGATGTTTTGGAGGCTAAATGAGGCAATGTAGAGAGAATATAGTTAGAGAAGAGATCCATTAATTATTCTTGAGTGAGAGTCTTTAATGGATAATTTCATAATTCCAAGGCTGGGTTGAATGCTGTCTTCATTCTCTTGCTTGCCAGCAGCTGCAGTCTTTCACGATCCATGAAGATGCTATGGAGGACATCGAAGGTGACCACTCCAGTGCCCCTGCTCAGAAGACTCCTGCAGGTGCCCATGGGGCTCAGGATGACCACGAGAAGGAGGTATCTGGGATCAGGGCACCTGAGACTGACTTCTCAGTTTGTATACGTTCTGGAATTGGAATCTGGTCCTAATAGTCACTAGGGTAGAGACATCCTTCCTGAATGAATCCAGACATGAATGGGAGGGTCTGGAGGCCTCTGCTGGCCTCAACCTTGTGGCTCCAGAGTCAGCGGGCTTAGGAAATCACAGCAAGGAGCTATATCTAAGAGGATCAGAGCAGCTAGTTACCAGCCAAGTTAAGAGCACTTTACTATTTTAGCCAAGTACTGCTGTATCTCTAAGAGTGGGTGAGCATCAACCTAGTATCAACATGTCACTTAGTTCCTTAGCTGAGAACCATATCCCTGGGCATTGGCTATATTTAATGTGCCCATCACTGGTACCTTCTATGGTATTGCAGTCCACAATTAGCCTGAGGTATTAAAGTGAGAAGGGGCTTGCTGAGTCCCAGTCTTTTCTCCAGCATAACATACTGGCTCTACAACTTCCTTGTCCTTCTGCCTTTGTCCCACCCTTGTCTTTTAAAAATGATTATTTATTTTTATTTTTTGTGTATGAGTATTTTGCCTGCATGGGAAGTACACCTGTGCATTCAGTGCCCTGCAGTGCCTATATAGGCCAGAAGAGGGCACAAGATCCTCTAGAACTGACGTTAAGATGCTTGTTAGCCACCATGTGCATGCTGGGAACTGAATTTGGGTCCTCTGCAAGAATAGCCAGTGCTCTAGGCTGCTGAGCCATCTCCAGCCCTAGCTGCCTGGTTTTAGGTGATGCTTGAAGTCAGCCATACTCCTGCCTGAGCTTTTTTGTGGGGTGCTATTCTAATTCTCTAATTCTGGAGGTGAAGACTGGGTTCCCTGGGGGTCAGAGATGCTACAAATGACTCCATTTGTGGTGTTAATTACTAAAAACGATTTTCTTTTTGGTTTGGTGTTTGAGACAGGGTCTCCCTGTAAGCCACAGCTGCCTGAAACTGACTATGTAGACCATTTTGGCCATGATCTCATAGAGATCTGCCTGTCTCTGCATCCCGAGTGCTAAGATTAAAGGATTAAAGGCATGGGGCACCATGCCCAGCTTAAAAGGGATTTTCATTTAAGCTAATGGTTGACCAATCAAAATGAATGGAAAATCTGGATCGTGGGAAATTTCCTCCATAAAAGTCCAGGTACATCGAGTAGCCTATGTAGTGGCTAATGATATTGCCAGCCTGCAAAAGTTGGGATTTAAGTTCCAGCCTGCCCAGAATGACCTCCCTCTTCTGTTTTCATGTCCTTTATTGTATGTAGGCAGGATCCACCTTCACCTTCTGCATGAGCTAGCCGTTATTGTTTGGACAACTTTAGTTTCTATTCACATACCCTGCTCCCAAAGTACAACCATGCCTCCCTCCCCAGGCAAACAGGCTTGGCCCTATTTTCCCCCACATGCTGCTCTCACCCCCTCGTCATCAGGTGTTATCCAAATTCAAGGTCAAGGGCACAATCCCCCATACCACCACATCTACTCAATCATACCAGCTATAAGGTTGGGAGTTCCCAGAACCATCATCACTTTGGACCAGCTGGCTACAGATTGGGTAAACCCTTCAGACTCCTTCAGATCCAGTGACTCAACAACTCAAGGAACTCAGGAACATGCTATTCAGTGATTTTGTTATTGTTGTAGCAAAGGGTCCAAGTCAGAACTTTGCTAGAGGAAGAAGCTTATAGAGCACAGTTAGGGAAGGGAGAGCTCCAAGTACCCAGTTTCTGTGCCCTTAAGGACACATTGCTTACTCAGCAATGATGTATGACCATACATAAGGTACTGCCAGTCCAGGGAGCTCAGCACCTCAGGTTTTCCTGGAGTTGCTTTGTGTAGACCTGATTGACAGAGTGCAGCCGCTTCTAGTTCCTTCCCATCCCTGGAGATTTGCCCCAGTTCTCTGACCACACAGTTGGACTTTCTAGTGTGGCCAGTCCCCATGTAGACCCTCAAGGGCCCACCATGAGCAACACATGTATTCACTCTACGTGTTACTTCCCGGGAACCAGAAAAAAGTTAGACCTGTGTAGGGTTAGCTGAACTCTACACAATCCTTCCTCGGATTCTACCTAGCCACTCCATCGCTGCCCAGCCTGCCACCTCTTCCTCATAGCTGGTCCCATTACCGGGTTAAGAGACATAAGATTTTTGTCTATTCTCCACAACCCCTGACATGGTTTGTTCCCAACTCCTCCTCCTTCCCAGATGTCCCCCACCAGCATCCCTGATGCAGCTGTGGCTTCTCCAGCTTTTTCTCCTTTCCCTTATTTGCTTCTGTTTTATTCATCTTTGAATGAAGATATTTCCCCAGGCAGGGAGCTTCTCTTTCTGTGACCTCTCCCTTGTCAATCTACTGATTTTTCATACGAGGTTCCAGGGATCTTTTTCTATCCTGGCCCTTTTCTTCTGAGCCCTCTACTGCATGTTTCTATTCAGGTAGATCACCGTCACCCTAAATTCAGCATCTGTAAGTCAGCTGCCCCCCAGTTCTCCATCACCATCTACTCCAAGCACCTCAGAGTCCCATATGACTCTGACCTCAATTGGGTCACAGACCTTCCTGATAATCCCACAATACTCTGCATATGTCAATCAGTGCACTGCCCATGCTGTGGTAGGGCAACTATTATTTTGCTCTGTCCACTAGGCCGTTAGCCAGTGACACTGTTACCCCTGTGCTGGCAGAGTGTCGGGAGTAGAGTTGAGTTTTGGTCTTCCTGTCATTTCACCTCTTTGTATTACTGAGCTAATCCCCACAGAGAGCTGTCTGACCCATTTTGCTTCCAGACTAACTTTCCCTCATGTTTTATCTCCTTCTGCCTCTTTCTATGCAGATACCTCTTCTGGCTCTTCTTGACTCTGGACTGTTTTCTTACCACTCCCCCAGCTCAGCTTCCCATAAACTTCATCACCCAAGCTCTGTCTGCTGTTCTTCACCTAAACAAACCTAAGTTTTAGCCAAATTGTCCCACCCCTACCCCACACACATTGGACTTAGTGATCAGAATCACCTGGTTTTTTTTTGCAGGAGTCAGTTTCCTTTTAAGGAGCAATCTGTTCCTCGTCCTCATTCCTACCCATCCTTCACGGCACAGCATAAATCCACTTCCCCTTCCAGGCCCAGCTCCTTACAGCACTTTTCAGCAATTACTGGAAAATGGTTCCTTGCACATTCCATATCCTGATTTATTTCCCCAAGTTAGGCTAGAAGTTTCATTTTTTAATTTTTACAATTTTTAATTTATTTTTATTTTTATGTATATGAGTGCTTTGCCTGCATGTATGTAAGTACCCCCATGTTGTGCAATGCCCACAGAGGCCAGAAGAGGGGCATTGGATCCCCTGAAACTGGAGTTATGGATGGTTGTTAGCTGCCATATAGGTGCTGGGAATCAAACCTGGGTCTTCTGAAACAGCAGCCAGTACTCTTACCCACTGAGCCATCTCTCTAGCCCCAGTTAGAAGTTTCTTAACACCAAAGCCTACAGCATAATCATCTGTGTGTCATTTGTGATACTTTTCTTGCAGAAGGAAGCACAGAGGGAAGATGGGTAACCAAAGCAAAACTAGGGAGCAGGAGTAAGTTCTAGTGTTCGCATCCCACAGTGGGGTTCTCAGCAGCAGCAGGGAAGGAGACACAGAGCACTCTGTTGGCCACAGCAGCCTGAGCTTTTCCCTTGATCTTTTAGATTCCTCAATTCAGGTAAAACCAGATCCTTGGCTTCAATGCAGAAAATTTTGAGGTGAGCCAGTATGAAGCAGTTGGAGTTTATTAAAATATTAAGAAAGGCGCTCAGAGAAAGAATAAAGCCCATGGAAGAGTGTGGGTGTGTGCACTCAAAGAGCAGTCACAGTTTAGTAAGACTGTTAACATAGACTTTGAGCCTTATAGCATGAGGGTTTAAGAGAAAAAATGAGGCATAGCCAGGTGTGGTGTGGTCTTCTTCAGGGAGTCATGTGAATGTCTTAGTACTAGGCCATACATTTACTGCTGTGGTTACATCTCAACGGGTTGCCAAGGATTTCCCTCTCTCTCTCTTTTTGATAAGTGGGATTATAGCTGACTCTGGGGGCACCTTGGATGGGATTACAATTGATAAAGTAAAACCAGGAGCCACAAGGATTGCACAAGGGGCTTAGGACATGCCTTTTGCTATAAATGGGATTTCTGGCGAGAGACCTAGAAAACTGCAGGGTTTCAGCCAGGAAGGGAGAAAGGCCTTAAGTAAATATGTTAGAATTCTTGACTCTCACTGATAACAGCCTTCAACCAGACCTCTGGGTCAGGGGCTTCTTCTTTCCCATCCCGTATCCCTATAATTTCCTCTTTCTTTCTCTCCTGGATCTGGGTGACTATGGTTCACAGTAACCTGTGATATAACAAGAAGAAGCTCAAAGCTTCCAATTATCCTGATAGGCAATATATTTGTTGTATACATGTGTTGAATTATATTGCACCACATCAGTATGTACAGTGTTACTGTATTAAAAAAGAAAATTAGATTTTAATGTTCTCAGTGTAAAAAGAAGAGAAATGAGAGAGAGCAAGAAAGAGAACTTGATGAAATAAAATAGGAAACGCTCTATTCCAGTTCAACTTCGGCGACATCTTTGTCCATCAAGCCATCCACACCATTGAGTACTGTCTGGGTTGCATCTCCAACACAGCCTCGTACCTCCGGCTCTGGGCCCTCAGCTTGGCTCATGCAGGTGGGTGAGAAATGCACTGGGGGAGGAGAGGCAATCAGATCACCTCAGAAACAGGTTCAGTGTACCTGTAGGCAAAAGTGGCTTTGTGGGTTGTTTGTGGTATATTGTGGCTGTTTTCATGGGGCTTTATGATACCTTCATGTACCCTTAGGCAACTTGGTGTCTTTCCATGTTTCTGAATTTATATGAACAGAATCTTACCATAGACTGGGTGGTTTAAGTAGTTTAAGTAGCAGATTTATTTTGTGTTTGGGCTCTGGTGGAAGCCCACTTCTTTCTTGTTTGGTTTTTTTTTTTTTTTTTGGTCTTTTTGAGACAGGGTCTTCCTGTAGCCCCAGCTGTCCTGGAACTCACTATGTAGACTAGGCTGGCCTTGAACTCACAGAGATCCATCTCCTGAGTGCTGGGATTAAAGGCATGCACCACCACACTCAGCCTTGTTTGGTTGGTGTTTGAGACAGCATCTTCCTGTAGCCCCAGCTGAGTTGGTCTGGAATTTATACGAAACCAGGCTGGCCTCAATCTCACAGAGCTCTGCTTGCCTCTGCCTCCTGAATGCTGGGATTAGAGGTGTTCTCCACCATGCCTGGTCTGGAAGCCCACTTCTTAACAGCTTCACACAGTGGGGTCACAGAGTGAGAGTGAGTGCGTGAGGGTGAAGGAGCCCTAAGAGTGAATGAGCTCTGTGGTGTGCCTAAGTTCTCTAATCACTTCCAAAGGCCCTACCTCCACACACCATGGCATTGGGGGGTTCAGGCTTCCACATACGAGTCTAAGGAGTAACAAACTTTCATGTCACAGCAAATCATGCTACATGTATTCTTTTAGGTTCTTCTTTTTTTGTGCATACCTCATGTTGCTCTAGTTTGTTCCTTTTGCCAATAGCCCTAGTTTGCTTCCTTTCCCTGGCCATCCATGTGCCATCACGTATGTGTGAGTTTCCTCTTGCAAGAAGCCTTGCCATTGTGATCAAAGCTACAGTAGACGACTTCCTGTGCATTCCCCAGAGGGACTTGCAGATTTAAGGTGATAGGATGAAAATGATGTGAACGGACCTTGATGGCTTGCCCCTACAGAGCTGTCAGAGGTGCTCTGGACCATGGTGATGAACATCGGCCTCCACCTGCAAGGCTGGGGTGGGCTCATTGGGGTCTTCATCATTTTTGCTGTCTTCGCTGTCTTGACGGTCGCCATCCTCCTCATCATGGAGGGCCTCTCTGCCTTCCTGCATGCTCTGCGGCTGCACTGGTAAGCCTGCTTGTCCCCTAGGAGTTGAGGAAGGGCGGGCTGTGGGGCTAGTTGACTGGAGTCAGAACTTAGGTACCTTTTGGGAACCTTAGTTTAGTCATCTGTCTAGACAGCATGCATGATGCACTAGATATTTATATGTTTACAGAGATACTGGCCACCTTATAATGTTAGCTGTCATTTATTCTCAGTGTTTGCTTGTTGCTATAGTTGGCTCCAAAATAAGTCAGGTGACAGATCTGAGACAGGCTCATAGAGAGCCTGCTGAGTGAATCAGGGTTTTGGACATGGTGGCTTCAGAGGGCAGGAGTGACACGAGTAGAACAAGCTATAGTGGAAGTGGAGGGTGCCCACAAGAAACCCTTGACATCCATAGATGTGCCCAGAGGTTATCAGTGGTACTAGGTTGATGGTTTTGTGTGTTCCCTGAAGCCACCCTGACCATCCTCAGCTTACATTGTGGCTGTTATTGCCAGGAAACAGTTTTACATTTACTTATTGGGTGAAGAGAATTGGAGCATCCCCTGACTCTGTGCCAACCTCTCTATGTCACCGAGTGTGTGACTATGTAATATCACAAAACAGAAATAATTATGGGTGGTATTGGTTATGAAATTAAAAAAAAAAAGTGGCTGAAGAGATGGTTAGTGGTTAAGGTCACCTTCACCAGCTGCTGCTCTTCCAGAGGACCTGAGTTCACTTCCCAGCTCCCACATCAGGCAGCTCACAACCACTGGTAACTCCAGCTCTGGAGGGTCTAACACTTCCTTCTGGCTTCCAAGGGCACCTGCACTCATGCAGACATATCCGTACACTTATACGCAGACATACACATAATTTTTTTAAAAATCTAAGATAAATTATAAAAAATATAAACAAGGTTTCTTTCTATCATGGGCCTCACAATCGGGAGTCAGGATGGAGCTGGGAATCCACACGCAACATTGTAAAGGATTGTAGCATCATGTACAGCAATCAGTTGCCAGATGATGGCCAAAGAAGGCATCCTTCTTGGGTGGAGGCTAGGGAAGTTCATGATGTCGGGGGAGATGCTGTGCTGTGGTCCATGAAGCCTGAGGAAGTGAGCTGGGGAGGAAGAGATGTGGTAAGAGGGAGGCTTAAAAGGGCGTCTGCTTCCATTCTGTGCCTTGCCCCTACCTGCCAGCCTCTATTTACGAATGCAATCCCCTCCTTTTTTTTACCCTTCCTCCTCAACAACAGGGTGGAGTTCCAGAACAAGTTCTATGTCGGAGCTGGGTACAAGTTCTCCCCCTTTTCCTTTAAGGATATCTTGGAAGGAACGACTGAGGAATAGACTTCTTTGCATCTCCTGTGCCAGTGCCTCTACCAGCTAAAGAAGTTCAAACTTGTCTCTGATGTCAGCCCAGGTCAGGCGTTCCGCGCAGCAATTGTTCTTGGCTACCTGAATGTGAAGCTGTGTATTACTTGGCTAAACATCTTGGGAATTGCTCTGATTTAACCAGGTCATTGAGGAGTTACTTTTGTAAATCCTTTTGGCTTCATGTGTGGTCTTAATGATCAAACAATAAAATGACTAAGAAAGGGGGGGGCATAAAACTAATTTCGTCTTACAATATTTTATTTTATTATTTTTTGAGACAAGGTCTCATATAGCTCAAACTGTCCTTAAACTATATAGTCAAATATGACCTTAAACTTCTGACCCTCTCACCACCACTTTCCAAATGCTGAGGTTATTAGGCATCTGCTGCCCCACCTGGCTATCTTTTGATATTTTCTATATTATAGTCAAGAAAATAAATATTTGGGTTACGTACTGTTTCTTTAAGATGTCTTTATTCAAAATTAATCTATAACATTTGGTATCGACAGTTAGAGGCCAATGCTGAACAATGGAGTTACACAAACTAATCCCAGAGAGGGCTCAGGTTTATGTTAGCCCTTCATGTCCTGCTTTCTCAAACACCTTCCCCCTCGTCTAGGGCTTAGCATTTCAAGCTTAGGAACTTTCTCATGCGATTTTACTCTATACAAGGAAGAACAGCTAATGCCCTCTGTTTGGAGGGAGGGCTGGCCCTGGCCTGGCTCTCAGCATCACTAAATCCTGAGAAACTAAATGCTGTAACATTGCATCATTCTGGGGGCGATGCTTCCTGTCCCCACACACGGTGCTGGGGAAACTGGAGAAGGAGATGCGGAGGCTTGGTTAGGTTCTGGAAATGGTGAACGAGGAAGAAGGCTACCTCATAGTCAAGCTCCATACCTCTGGGGCTGAGGGCCCAGAACTAATTTCTTAGGACACCTGGGCTGGCACTTTCCCAAGAGCCTGAGAAGATTTGTTGTGTAAACTATTTTGTCTGAGTGACTTTAATCCAGGTGAGCCGCAATTTCTATGGCAGCTGTAAGGGTAGAATTAAGGATAAGCCACATTTTTGTAATGCTTTACAGTTGACTAAGTCCTCTCACACAGTGTCTCATTTAGCTCTAAGTTTTCATTGCCAGTAAATAAAGTATCCCAAAAGAGGTGATCAGATTCAAAATCACCTTTTAGATGGTACTCTGTGTGTGTGTGTGTGTGTGTATATGTGTGTGTGTGTGAAGGAAGAAAGGCTAGAGATCAAGGAACAAGGAAGGGCAAGGGTGTGTGTGTGTGTGTGTGTGTGTGTGTGTGTGTGTGTGTGTGTCTACACGTACATGGAGCTCAGAGGACAATTTCAGATGCCAGTCCTCGCTTTCCACCTTTGCTGGAGACAGTCTCTCCTTTTGCTGTTCAACACTGTACACCAGGCTAGCTATCCTGTGAACTGTGATTCTCCTGCCTCCCATTGGAGTGCTGGGCTTACAGACAGGTGCTGCCAGGCCTGGCTTTTATACAGGTTCTGGGGATTCTAACTGGAATCCTCATGCTTTCACAGCTACTGCTTTACCTGCTAGCCGGTTTTTTAGTCCCCTCTTGCTGTCCTGTGCCAGGATTGGCTGATGCCCACCGAAGTGGCAATGCTCAAACCTAAATGGAAGTTTCCATGCCTCAGTTCATGTCAGTGTCACGACCTGCGTAGCAGTTCAAGGCCTATCATTAAAGTATTGACTTAGCAAGGTTGAGAGAACCAGAGAATGATGATTGACATCAGAAGGAACATGTTTGAATTCCAGCTCTGAGACCTTATCATGTGCATCACTGGATGAGAAATGGAGTAATTCCCGTTCCTGCCAAACGGGCATAAGGCTCTCTACTTGTCTGGAATGTAGAAAGGGGATTGTAAGGCCTGGGTAAAGGAGGGGATGCTTGGCCAATGACAGCTGAACAGGAGGTATAGACAGTCTGTTAATGATTTCGAAAAGCCAAAACTTCCCCAGCTTCTGTATTCACTGGCCAGTTTTAAGGTCCACAGAGCTGAACTGATGCTCTTCTCCACAACCAACTAAAGGCTCTGCTCTATGTAGATGTCTCTTTCAGAAATGCCCCCACCTCCCTAAGAACAAAGTGATTTTCCCCCAAGGAATAACATCCCAGGGAGAGATGTTATTTCCTCTTTAACAAGGGATCAGGTGAGGGCTGTTGAGAAGGGGGTGTGTCCTTGCTGTCACTCATGCCTAGGATGCCAGGTGGCTTCTTCATGAATCCTGTTTGGAGAACTGAAGTGAAATCCTACCTCCCCTGAGGGTAGGATCAGGGGCAGGCTTCTTGGGAAGGCATGTCTGGAAGATCTACGAGACCCTCAGTGCTCCAGCTTCCATGGGAGAAGGGGCTGTGATGAGGTGGTGCTAGGAGACTTGAAATCACACCACTTTCCAAGGAACACAGAGAGGTGAGGAACTCCTATGGGCAACATAGATCTGCATCTGTTTTCCTGCTGTCTGGAGTGGGGTGGAGTGGGGAGCTGACTAGTGTGAGGTAAATGGAGTGTGAAACTTTCATTCTTTCTTTAAAAAAGTATTTATGTATTGACTATGTGTATGAGTGTGTATGTTTGAGTGTGGTGTATGTGTGATATATATATATGCTCATGTGTGTGTGCATGTACGTGTGCCGAGAGGTCAGAAGAGGATGTTTGGGTGTCCTGTTCTATCACTCCCCACCTTGAGACATGGTCTCTCACAGAACCTGGAGCTAGGCTGGCAGCCAGCAAGCCCCAGTGATCCTCCTGTCTCTGAGGAGTTTCCTTCATGTGCCCTAGCACTGAGTTAAGAACTGAAGGCACAGGGACTGGGGATGGAACTCAGTTGGTAGAGAGCTTGCCTAGCATGCATGAAGCCCTGAGTTCAATCCCTGGCACTGCATAATGTGGACATAGTGGTGCATACCTTAATCCCAGCACTGAAGACGTGGAGGCAGGAGGATCATTTAAAGGTCATCCTCTCCTACATATCAAGTTAGAGGCCAGTCTAGACCTGGTCTAAATATTTATTTTAAACCCCAAACCATATGCAGAGAACAAGAGGCTGCATGTCCCCAAATAGGACACCTTTATCAAACTTCTGCCCCTCAAGGCTCAGGGATCATTGGGAAGAGAGGATGGAAAGACTGTAAGAGCCAGAGTGACCACAAGGAAAAGTTTTCCAGACAACTTGTTAGTTGCTCATATGAACTCACAGCAATGGTAACTGCATTTTCGAGTCCCATGCACGCTCAAAACAGAAAAAAAAAAAAAATCCTAGCATAGACATAGGAAATGGGTAAGATGCTCCAACCCCACCTAAGGAAATCGTAACAACAGATGGCTGCTGGGAGGTGCAGAGACAGTCTCTTTCAAGCATGGGACTCTTGCTAGGTTAATCAGGTGCCAATGGACCCACACTGAAGGACATTTGGAGACACAAATTAGACTTTATAGGCTCTGTGTGTGTGTGTGTGTGTGTGTGTAAAATAGAGTACATTAAATTGGATGAGGGGCAATAAGGGGGCGTGTAGATAGGGGAGGGGATCTAAATAGCATCAAATTATATGAAAATCGCAAAATATTTTTTAAAGTCTGAATCAAACAAATCATGAATGCGGGGGGGTGTGGGTGGGGCTCATGAGGCCCCCACCTTTAGCTGAGGAACTCTATTGGCAGTTTGAGGCTACTGGAGGAGAGAGAGTCATTTTTCTTTGGGGCTATGGCCACTGGTAGGCTGCCCTTGCTCCAGTGGATGTCCCTACCCCATGTGCATGTGCGCAGCACTAACTAGACTCAAAGGATTATTAGGAAGAAGAAATGAAATTGGGAGGTGGGCATGCTGGGAGGGGTCCGGGAGAAATTGGGGGAAGTATAAAGAGGGATATAATGAGAATACATTGTACACATGAATGAAATTCTCAAAGAATCAATTAAATATATATATGGTCTTTTTGAAGCAGGGTCTCCCTGTAGCCCCAGCTGTCCTGGAACTCACTATGTAGACCAGGCTGGCCTTGAACTCACAGAGACCCACCTGCCTCTGCCTCCCGAGTGCTGGGACTACAGGTGTGCGCCACCATGCCGGACTCAAAAATCTTATTTTTAAAAATTTACTCTTTGAGGAGGCAGAGGCAGGCTCGTCTCTGTGAGTTCAAGGCCAACCTGGTCTACATAGTGAGTTCCAGGACAGCTTGGGCTACAGGGAGACCCTGTCTCAAAAAGAACCACCCCCCCAAAAATTTACTCTTTGAAAATCTCATAGATACATATAATGCATCTACCCTCTACTTCCTCCCTCTGACCCTTCCAATATATCTCCCTTCCAGCTGACCTGAACTCACTATGTAGACCAGGCTGGCCTTGAACTCACACAGATCCGCCTGCCTCCACCTCCTGAGTGCTGGGACTAAAGGCGTGCACCACCACACCTGGCTAGTCCCACTTTTTAAATAGCCCACTCAACCTTATTAGTGCTGCCCATCTGCGCATGAGAGTGGGGGTCATCTACTGGGGCCTGGACAACCTGCCAGTGGTCTCTCCCCCGAAAGGAAAGTGACTCTCCCTCGCCTAGCAGTCATCAACTGCCAATAGGTCCTCAGCTAGGGGTGGGACTTTTGGAACCCCACGACCTCCATGCTGAATTTTTAACTGGCTTGATCTTGTGTAAGTAACAACAGTTGCTATGAGTTCATGTGCGCAGCAGCCATGATGTCCAGAGGACAGCATTTTACAGCACTTCTCCCCATCCTCTGGCTCTTACATTCTTTGGACTCCTTTTTCCACAATGGTCCCTGAGCCTTGGGGGGCCGGGGGAGGGGTTGATATAGATGTCTCACCTACAGCTGAGCACTCAGTCCCTTATTCTCAGCACTTAGAACAATTATGAGTCTCTGCATTAACCACTCACTGCAATAAGAAGCTACTCTGACCAAGGTTGAGGGAAGCATAAATCTACGGACATAACTATTTAGAAGGTGGTTTGAATACATGACCATTTAGAAAAACATCAAAAGAGTTCCCCCTTGGGCCTGCGATGTCCTTAGCCATGTGTTTTAACCACGGTCTCAGCATCAGGCATGAATTCTGTGTTAGGGAGCAGGCCTTGAATCCAGTCAAGAGAGTTGTTGGCCCTGTTGCATCTTCCCTGATAGGTCAGTATTGTAGAATGCAGACAAACCCCACCCCCAAACAAAAACAAACAAAACCTAACCCCATGTGTCATAAAAGTGGTAAATTGTGTTGCTGTTGTCTTTTTGTAATACTGGAGATGGAACCCAGGACTTTAGATACATTAGGTAAGCACTCTACCATTGGGCTATACTCCCCAGCCCCAAAGTCACCATTTTAAAGTGTATAATCCAGGGGGCTGGAGAGATGGCTCGGTGGTTAAGAAAACTGGCTGTTCTTGTAGAAGACCTGGGTTCAAATCCCAGTA